ATGATGACATTCTCGTATCCCACATTCAACTCGATCCCATCGCTGCCACTCCGCCAATTCCGCCGCATAGACAGATATCCCTTTTGATTTGACATAGAACTATTTGATCCACCTCCAATGCGCCTCACCCGAGCTCGTCGGCCTGCCTCCCGCATGCACGACCCGAGCGATGCCTTTCCCGATCGGCTCCAGCATCTTGTATGCTCCAGCATCGTGCGATCAGACACCGGATGAACAAGCTTCCTTGACTCCATCACATCATGTTAGCTCTACTTAGTCTAGCAAAGTTGCTTCTGGAGATTACTATGTATTTGTCTGGGATTCTTGCAAAGATGCATCCATATGAAAGTCTGCATTTGCTGCCTCTTTATAGGGCTTTGCTGGAAAATCAATTTCATCTTCCAAACTTTTGGATCTTTGGCAAACTGAAACTGACTTCTGCAAAGCATTTGGAGGATCAGCCAGTAGTGAGTCAGTTTGCGTCAATGGGCGATCTTCTTCATTTAATAGTTCAGTGAACTTTGCACCCAAAGGTACCTGCATAGAGAAGCTTGGCTATGGTGAGACTAATGCCCTTGAAGCATTAGTGGTTGAAGCTGCAAAGGGAATTGAACGACATTTGATGGATCATGGAAATGGGGAGACTGATTTAAATGACAACTGCAATATTGGTATTGAGGATGTTTCCATTGTAGGTGTGTACATGCTCGTTTTGAACTCCTCTGACAAAGCTGAGCCAGTGCAACAATCCCAAGCTGTTTGAAGAAATGTCACTAAAGGATCTGAACCCAACTTGAAGAGGCTGGTGGAGGTCCGAATGAAGTCAATCTGTGTCCTGGAATCATTTTGAGGAAGCAAGATGATGATTATTATTCTATTATCGAATCTTACTTCAGTGAAAATAAGGATATTGTGGTTAAATGCTGCAAATTACCCCAAGCTTCACTGAGGGAAAACGCAAACAAGGTCTTAAGTCTCTTAGCTGGGGACCTGAATTCTGCACTTGGAAATGAGGAGGAACCAACTGATGGAAAATCCAAGCCAGTTCCCACTGCTCAGTTACCTGATTTAAACGATACAGGTGGCCTGGAAGATAATGAATTTGGAAGTTCTTCCAAAAATCCTGTTGATGAAGGCAATAGAGATCTAACGTCAACTCCTCCAGTTGATGATCTATTTGGTGGTATGAGAAAGACAAAGATGAAATGACAGATAAATTTGACCTTAAAATGTGGGTTTGTGTATCCAACAACTTTGATGTGAAAAAAATCATTCCAGATATGTTGGAATCTCTTAAAATGAGTAGACCTCCGTTGGATACACTTTATGCACTTCAAAAGAGTCTTAAATATGAGATAATGTCAAAAAAGTTCTTGTGTTGTATGACATTTGGGATGAGGAGGAACGATATAAAACTAAATGGAAGAATGTGCTCGCCTCTTTATCTTATGGAAATTGGGAAAGATATGCTAATTTATATCCTCACAGGATATTGTTTTTGCCGTTGACTTTACGAAGGATTGGTTCTTTGCCAAGAACTCGTGTTCACCAACCAATTGGCAAATTGAAATGCTAGTTCAATTCAATGATTCCAACGTTCAACCTCCTCACTTAGATTTAGGAAAGCCTCTTAATGTGGTAATTTTGAAGTCTACATTCAAAGTCTTCTACCCAGGAATCTGTTACCTACATCCCGATGACACGCCTCGACGGAGTCGAGCTCTTTTGATCCAAGGGGATAATGATGTAGGAACATCTTTAGTTATATACTCCTTAGGATTAGTTTATCTTAGTTTGTTATAGGTTTGTTACCATTAGTTTCTAGAATATTCCTTTTATCCTATAAATATACAAGCTATTGTAAGAAAGAAGATTCATTGATGAAAAAATATCCTCTTTTTAAAGCTTTAGAAGCTTGTTGTGTCTTTGTTCCATGGATTGGGAATTTCCTTCACGCAGGTCCGATTCTTACAACGTTATCCATTTCAAACAATCTATTGGATTAACATTTAAAGAGTTGTCATTGCAATTTTAAAAGATGAAAAGAAAATGTGCTGCACTAGAATCTCACTTTTGGTAATATTAAAAGAAGAATATATTGATCCACAACATATATAATGAAATATTAAAAGAAGAATATATATATATATATATATATATATATATATATATAAGGATCACCATGGTGATACATAAATAAAATTGAGTACATCGATCAAATGATACAAACAGCTGGCTCATGCTGAAATATTATGCATTCTTCACATTTCAGATATATCAAACAATTCCTTTAATGCTTTTTAAGTAACTAATATGTAAAATTTCTAACAATGGAAAGGCATGGTATTTATCATTCCCATTAAATTTACTTTCGAGCCATTTTACTTTCGGCATGCTAGAAAGTTTTAGATCCTTGAGGAAGGGAAGTTGCAAAAAAGGAGGAAGAGTTTTACACTTCAAGAAACATGTCAATTCGATTTTCTCTAGATTGAAGATCGGATTGACATTGTTCATCCATATTGCAGACCTTGCATCCATGTATCTCTCTATGCTCATATTTCTTAGACATTTTGGGGGCTGAAGGTTGTCGAGCACATTCTCATCTAAATCAATGTTTCTCGAATTCCCTCTTTTCACATAATTTGGCACTATAAGCCTCCTCGGCATCCTTAACATTTTCTAGGCAATTGATTCCAAATTTGCAAAGATCATTCATATTCTCCAACTCCCCAATTCTATAACCACTCATACCTCTAAGATCAAACATATTCACTTCTTGAAGAGACTTTAGCTTCCCAATCCCACATATCGATGAAATATTATTCTTGGAAAATTCCTCGTGATGCAAGTTAGAAAGGTTATTAATATCACTTGGTAAAAAATAATTAACTATATGTTATCTTGGCCCCAATGTTCTAGCATAGATGCAAGTGATAGAGATTACTTAGAGATCTTGGCAGAATAGTCAAATTATTAACATCAATCTTAAAGTATCAAAGATGTATCAAATTTTCAATCTCCTCGGGTATTATTTTCGAGTTTTTGGAGCCCTTATGTATAATAAGCGTAGGCTTCTCGATAGGTTGAGTATTTCATTAAATGCATTGCAAAGATCCTGATAAAAAGCTTTAAAGAACAAGAAAAGAGAATGCAAATATTAAAACTTACCATCATTAAAAAATACCAATGAGATTTAGGGTTGATAAACGTGTAAAAAGAAATAAAATTCATAGATAAAAGATGACTTATCATTAAAATTTTATTTTGTTTTTAAAAACTCAAAAACATAAAACCAAAATTAAATAATAATTGAATAATTGTTTCATTTCGAGAAATCAATAAGAAATTAAAAAGAATTATTTATATTTCAATTCTGAAAGATCAACGACATATATAACGAAATATATAAAGGGATCACCAAGTGATACATAAAATAAAATTGAATACATCAAATTATACAAACTGGTTAATGCTGCCATTGCATTCTTCACATTTCATATCAATAACATAAGAAGAAAGAAGTTAGCAGCTCATGTATTTTGAAATTATCGGAAAATTATCACGTTCGATGTCCGGATTCGTTCAGACACCAATCCAGATGCGCCACATCATCCATATACACACGGGCCCAGTTTTTATAGGTGACGTGGCGCGTCTGGATTGGTGTCCGTACCGTCCGGTCACCGGACGTAATAATTCGCTGAAATTATCAGGGATGATACATAAATAAATTTGAATACATCAAATTATACAAACTGGTTAATGCTGCCATTGCATTCTTCACATTTCATATCAATAACATAAGAAGAAAGAAGTTCGCAGCTCATGTATTTTGAAATAATCCAAAAATTATTACGTCCGGTGTCCGGATTCGTTCAGACATCAATCCAGATGCGTCACGTCACCCATATACATCCGGTGCCCAGTTTATCCGCATGACGTGACACGTCTGAATTGATGCCTGGACCATCCACTCACCGGACGTAATAATTCGCCGAAATTATCAGGGATGAATATCGATATGAGGAATGCCAGCAATCTTGTGCCGATCGGAGCCTCCATTCTCTCGATATCTCTCTTCTAACTCTGGATGACAGCTCGAAATATATAGGCTTTCCAAAGAGGGAGGAAGGTTCGGTAATTCCCGAAGCATAGGAGCGTCATCAATAGATAGATCCTCAAGTGAAGATAAGCTTTCCAAGGAGGAAGGGAGAGACTGTAAGGATTTCAGAAATGAAAAATTCAGCTCTGAAAGAGAAGAACTAACTTTCAGAAGCCACTCCTCCGACTCATTTGTAAATGAAACCAGCTCTTCATTTGACCAAATACTCAGCTTTTTTAAGGAGGCGATACTTCTCAATGGCTCCATTAGCAACACCGATGGATCACTTATGCTAAGATCGCTGAGCATGAGATGGCAATTATTACTGGTTTCCACTTCTCGATATCTTCCGAGAGAGATCAGATTGGTGCACTTTATAATTGTCAAGTCTCTTAGTCCTGCAAGTCTTGCTATTTCATCAGCCAAAGGAAGAGATGTAATGTTTGGACAGTGAAAGACCGCTAATGTTTCAAGGGGAATAGGATTTGAATTGCTACAGAAATTCAAATTCTTCCACCCAAGTTTATATATCTTCAAGGTCTTGAGCTTAGAAGGCAAAAAGGGCAAGTCTTTCAACTTGGGGCAGTTATGTAGCCTCAGTTGAATTAAGCAAGGAAACAAACATCCATCTTCAGCAGGCACTCCTGCCTCAAACCAATCCTCTAATGCTTCTAATTTCGTAATATGTAGTACCTCTAGCAATGGAAAGGCATGGTATTTATCATTCCCATTAAATTTACTTTCGAGCCATTTTACTTTCGGCATTTTAGAAAGTGTCACTGACTTGAGGAAGGGAAGTTGCCCAAAAGGTGGAAGAGTTTCACACTCCATGCAATCTGTCAATTCGATTTTCTCTATATTGAAGATTGGATTGACATTGTTCACTACAGGAAAAAAGTCAAAAACCGGCGGTTAGGAAGGCAAAACCGGCGGTTTTAAATTTTACCGACGGTTTCTCGGCGGTTTTTACGCCACCGGTATAATTGGCGTAGGAAACTTTTACCGGCGGTTCTGTTAGGCGGCGGTTTTCCGGCAGCGTAAACTGCCGGTGACTACTGGATTTGTAATCGGCGGTTTTCCGGCCGTTGAGCCGCGGGTTATATTACCGACGGTATGCCGGCGGTTAAAGAGCAAAGATCATTCATATTCTCCAGCTCCCCAATTCTATAACCACTCACATCTCTAAGATCAAACATATTCAAATTTTGAAGAGACTTTAGCTTCCCAATCCCACATATCGATGAAATATAATTATGGCGGAATTTCATGTAACGCAAGTTTGAAAGGTTATTAAAGTTACTTGGTAAAAAATCATAAATATTAGGTTGGCTTAGCCCCACACTCTCTTCACAGATTATGTATTCCAAGTGATAGAGATTACTTAGAGAACTTGGCAGCATGATCAATTTACAATTACCATCAATCTTTAAGTATCGAAGATGTATCAAATTTCCAATCTCCTCTGGTATCATTTTCAAGTTTGTTGAAGCATGTATGTATAATAAGCGTAGGCTTCTCCATGTTTTGAATATTTTGATAAGTGCGCTGATATCCTGATTAGAAGCTTCATCGAACAAGAAAAGTGAATGCAAATATTTAAACTGCCCAATCTTTTTTATGATGTCTGGATTTGTAGTTTGAACAAACAAGTGTCGAAGAGTCTTAGGAATTATAGAAGACAAGTTTGTACTATCCTCAACTCTTAAACATTCCTGTATGGAAATTGATTGTGCCAATTCATGTATTAAATCATGCATTTTGTAGTAATGTCCAAACTGATCAAAGAAAGATTTTTTAACCAAAACATCAAAATACATTCCTCCAATATCCTCCATAGTCCATTCTTGATCATGAGGTTGTTGAATGAAACCCAATGCAATCCACATTTGAACTAAATCATCTTTATCAAACATGTAATCTTGTCGAAATATAGAACAAAATGCGAAACAATTTTGTAGATGTTTTGGTAGGAACATATAGCTCAATCTTAAAATGACAAAGATGCCATCATGACCCAAATTTGGACTTAAAAAATCACCATTTAAAACTTTTGTCCAATGTCTTTCATCCAAGCTAGAATTCAAAACACCACCGATGACCTTTGCAGCCAATGGAGATCCTGAAAGCTTTTTAACAATCTCTCCAGCAATGAATCTTAATCTTTTATAATCATTAGGATTCTCCACATCAGCAAATGCATGAGAGTTGAGGAGCTGCAAACACTGATCTTCCTCCAAGCCCTCTAATCTAAATATTT